GGCACCTATTACAAATTAAATTTCACTCAAATTGGGTGGCCACAGGTATTCTAAGTCAGTTTATGAAGTTTTGAAAATTTTCAAATTTTTATATTTTTGGGCACCCAAAAAAATTTAAATTTCACTCAAAGTGGGTGGCCACAGCTATTCTAAGCCATTATGATCAGTTTTGAAATTTTTGATTTTTTTAATTTTTTTTGGGCATCTAAAAATATTTAAATTTCACTCAAAGTGTGTGGCCACAGGTATTCTAGCCATCCTGATAAGTTTTGAAATTTTTTATTTTTTTATTTTTTTTGGGTAAATAAAAAAATTAAAATTTCACTCAAAGTGTATGGCCACAAGTATTCTAGCCATTCTGTGAAGTTTTGAAATTTTTTATTTTTTGATTTTTTGAATTTTTTTTTACACCTATTGAGTTCGGACTATCTTTGTTACGGAAATAGAATGGACACGCCGTTATCAAATGTATTTCTCATCCATAAGCAAAAATTTCCTTATGTTTTACCAAACAGATTTCTCTTTCAGAAATCAATTTCTGGAGCAGAATTAGTCATGTTTTACCAAACAGATTTCTCCTCCAGAAATCAATTTCTGGCAAGAATTCCAGAAATCAATTTCTGGCAAGAATTTGATTTCTGGAGCAGAATGGTTACCATTCGCACCCTTGGTGGCTTAGCTGGATTGATCTCCTTCGCCGATTGACTGAACAAGAGCAGAAGTTCTTGACCGGAGAAAAGAAATGGACAGATGGCTGTGCTGATGCAAGGGAAAGAGTAGCTGGCGGTGGTGGTGATGCTGCTGTTAGTGAGAGGAAGCAAATGGCGTGGGGACTTAGAATAGCAGAATAATGTGTTGACCGAATAATTGAAAGTGGATGAAGTGTTGGTGATGGCATGGAAGATGGAAAAGTAGAAGAATGGGTTGACCATGTAAATTTGTTGCATGAAGTTAGTGGAAAAAGAAATGGCGTGCAAGAATTCAACTTGAGTGGATAACGTGACTAAAGTTCATAGTGTAAACGAAGGACATGATAAGGTTAGGACAGTTAATTCGTAATACAACGTTAATGAATGAAATGATAGATAATTGTAGGATGGTCTTGCGGTAGTTGACAAGGTGATGGTACGGTGATTTCGTAATAATATCTGAGTCTTCCGAAGTTGACGCTTCCATAGCTCGTTGATGGTTATTTAAATTCTCACGTAACGTTCCGTTATGTACGCTCGTTAAACTAACGGATGAAATTTTTGGGATGTCACATTGCGGCCATCGACCCAGGCCCTCGCCGGCCACAGCGAGGGCGGGCAAGGGCCGCGACGCCCTCGCCGACGAACGGCAAGGGCTTTGCGGCCCTCCCCCTTGGGTCTGCAGGGGTCGCCGGCCCTTGCCTAGTGGCTCGCCACCTTCGCCGGTGACTTGCTGGCTCAACGAAGAAGAAGAAGAAAGGAAAAAAAGAAAGAAACGAAAGAAAAGAATAAAAATAAAATAATCAATAAAAAAATTCGATTTTTTTTTAAAAAAATAAAAATTTATCTACGTCAGCGCCACGTATGACAACCGGTGCTAACGTCAGCGATTTCCGGCCAAAATAAGCCAGAAAGACTAAATTGGCAAATAATCAATAGGTTGAGGACAAAATTTGCACAATTGAAAGGTTTATGACTGAATTGGCGACTTTTTAAAAGGTTTAGGACTGAATTGACAAAATTGAAAGATTTAGGATTACATTGGTCGCCGTACAAAAGGTTTAGGACTTTTTGGACAATTTTCCCGACATTTTATCCAACTCTTTGTTTCATGGCTGAACTGATGCTAGTCTCTAGATAAGGCTTTGATTAGTCCCACACTTTCTACTGTTCAGAGAAGCCAAGGGCTTGTTTGGTAATCGGCCAAATAGTGTTTGATTTTATTATTTTGTTCTCGGGAACAAAAAAGAACAGAAATCCGTTTGGCAAATTTTTTGTTCCTAGAAATAGTTTTGGAACAGAATCAAGAATAAAAAACGGAAAAGAAATTTTTTTCTTCTTCTTCTTCTTTCCTAGCCTGTGGCTGGTGGCTGGCGAGGGCGAGGGTCGCCCTCGCCGGACCCTCGCCATATCCGACTAGGGCGACTTTTGGTTTGTGCGCGGGTCCGCTCGGCGAGGGCAGCCCTCGCCCGAGCCGCAACGCCCTCGCAGGCCTTGGCCTGTGGCCTGTCGTTGGCCGTGCCGGCGATCTGGCCATGGGCCAAGGAAGGAGAAGAAGAAAAAAAGAAAAGAAAAAAAAAGGAAAAAAAGAGAAAGAAATATTAAAAAAATTTAAAATATTATTAATAAAAAGAAATTTTGTGCAGTTACCAAACGTATTTTTGTTCTTTTTCTATTCCAGGAATAAAAATTTTAGGCAGTTACCAAACGCTTTCAAATGCTCGGAAATTGTTTCCGGGAATGGAATAAAAAAATCATTTATGAGCAGAAATTATTTTCGGAAATAGAATGGTTACCAAACGTACCCTAAGTTAGTTAGCAGAATGGGATTAGTCCCTACTCCGGACGCACTTTTGACTTTTGCTTTTTTGTTGTTTAACTCGAAGCTTTCACGATATACGCATTTCGACATATATATAATGTGTTTGAATTTTGTATAATGTGTTGAATTTTGCCGGGGAAAGCAAAAGTGAAAAAAATGTTTGAAAAAAAACAGGGCCATTCGAGCATGATGAGGGTAATATATATCCCTTGAAATTAGGAAAAATTATCCAAAAAGTCTTAAATTACTGAACTTTTACCAATTCAGTATTAAACCTTTTAATTGTGATAATTGAGTTTTAAACATTTTCATGTTTTTGCAAATTAAGTTTATTTGGTCAATTTTGGTCAGAAAATCACTGACATGGATACCGGTCATCCTACGTGGCACGGCCGCATTGCATGGACAATTTTAATAATATTTGAATATTTTTCGAATATATATTATTAATTTTTATTTTCTTTTTCCTTTTTTCTTTGCATTTACAACTTTGGCCAATGAGGCTCGTCGGGCCCTTGCCAGCCACTAGCAAAGCTGGGCGAGGGTCACCAGGCCCTAGGCGGCGACAATAAAAAAAAAGAAGGAAAAGAAAGAAAAATAATAAAATAATAAAAAGTTTGAAAATTTATTTAAAAATTTGTCTACATTTGCGCTATCCGTTTCACGTAGAATGGCCAGCGTCTATGCCAGCGATTTCCAGCCAAAATTAGCAGGATTGACTTAATTTGCAAAAATAAGAACTCAGTTGGTAAAATTGCAATAGATTTTTAGATTTTTTTTGGATACTTCTCCCCCTCGGCAGTGTTATGACCTTGAACTTTTGACTTTCGTGGATTGAAATGAATTTTGTCAAGAGTTTGTCGATTCCTATTGCCCTTATGCAATAATTCAACCCACTTTGCTATCATGGGTTTCTCTAAGATAATGCGTGGATATAATCAACTTGGACTTTCTTCGTCGGTCCATAATAAAATGGACAAATTCCGTCTGTCATTATGGAATTCCACCCACATTTCTAGTAAATTTCAAACATTAGTTCTAGATCCTACATTCCAATTGAGCCTTGTCTATACAAAGATCAAAAGACATTAGAGAAAATGGGTTTTGCGATGGATCGTGAAAATAAAAAAGTTGTAAAAAAGCAAAAAAAAAAGGAAAATGATATGGCCAGATAGTAATATTGTATAATAACCTTAGTAAAGCCTAGATAGTTAATTAGAGCTCCAACTTAAAAACCGGAGGCCGCTTGTTCGGTTCTCGCAACTTTACATGTGAAATTGCTCTAGCCGGAGAGTGTGAACTTTATTGGTTTACGAGCTTGCACGGTGTTTCATGAGCATTTGAATAGATCAAGTGTTTCTAGATTATAATAAAATAATCCAACGTGGTGGGCAATTGAGAATGACACATTTTTTTGGTTTTTTTTTTTATGTGGATTGTCGTTCTGCTTTTGTTTTGTCACCCGCCAAGTTATGCCATATTGTTAGGTCTTTCCCGGGCCTTATTTTCTAAAAGATCCAAGTTTTAAGTCTAGACCCCGAACTTTTTTTTGTCTAAGAAAAAACTCAAAACTTTAGGTCCATTTCTAAATTTGTCCCGAAATTTTTTTGTCTCAGAAAATAACCCCAAACTTTAGGCCATTCTCAAATTTGCCTCGAATTTGTTATGTCTAAATAAAATCACAAACTTTCATTCCATTATCAAATCTATCTCGTGGTTTAGTCCCAACTTAATGTGGCATTCCCACGTCAATAACGAATCCACATTAGCAAGGTGACATGAAAAATTATCACCAAAATGAGACTGTTCGAGGATATGAAAATTAGGGACGACTAATGACAATTTTTGTATAAAGACCTAATGAGGCAGATTTTGGATTAGAGTAATTGGTGATTTTTCTGGCATAGATTTAGGCCTGGACCTAAAGTTGAGGGATTTTTTTTTTGACAAAAAAAAGTTCGGGTAGATTTGGACGGTACCTAAATTTTGGATTTTTTTTCTAGATAAAAGAAAAGTTCGAGACAACATTGGGATTAGAGCTGAAGTCGGCAGTTTTTTAAGGGAAGTAGGTTGGTCCTTTCGCCAAGAGTTGTCATTTTTTTATGTTCTTGACCTCTTATATAATGGGAAAAATGACACAAGCAGTACCTGAATTATTGGCTTAATGTGCAATGTGATCCCTAAGCTTTTAATTTGTTTAATGTCATCTCTAAACTTTTGCTATATGTTCAATTTAGTTCCTAAGCTAAATAAAAATATTCAATATATTCTTTCTATTAATTCAAGTTTTGAGATTATATTGAATATTTATTAAAAATTTAAGGATCGTATTGAACAAATTAAAAGTTCAGAGGCTGTATTAAATATATCAAAAATTTATGAATGAATTTGGGAACCGTTTCCGTCGTTATCTAACAAAGTTGTCGATTCGACCATTTTTGTCAACCCTACGAGGTCAGCAGTTTTCACAATTGGCGTTTGGAGAAGTAGGTGAGGAGACACTAACGTCAGCACGTGCGTCTTCGGTAGTCTCTTTCCACCTACTGTTCCCTCCTTAAAATGCTCCGCTCATCCGACAGTTCCGTCATCGTCTCGGTGCAGTGAGCGAGATCGAGCTCGAGCTAGACGACGGCGGCGGCAATGGCGACGACGACGGTGAGGAGGATCAAGCTGGGGTCACAGGGCCTGGAGGTCTCCGCGCAGGGGCTGGGCTGCATGGGCATGTCCTCCTTCTACGGGCCCCCCAAGCCCGACCCCGACATGATCGCCCTCATCCACCACGCCGTCGGCTCCGGCGTCACCTTCCTCGACACCTCCGACATCTACGGCCCCCACACCAACGAAGTCCTCCTCGGAAAGGTCAGATCTTTTTCGGGTTAAGGTCTCGGCTTCCGCATGGTGTTGTAGTATTAGCATGATCGTGCCGAATTCTATGATCCCGCGTCTTGGTTTTCTGTTTTTGGGTGCAATGTTTGGGGTTTTCTTGTGTTGATTTGGTGTTATGTTGATTTGGGTGTTGAGCTTGAGCAGGCGCTGAAGGGAGGGGTGAGACAGAAGGTGGAGTTAGCGACCAAGTATGGGATCAGCTTCGCGGACGGGAAGAGGGAGGTCCGGGGCGATCCGGCGTACGTGAGGGCGGCTTGCGAGGCTAGCTTGAAGCGGCTCGATGTCGATTGCATCGACCTATACTACCAACACCGTATCGATACCCGCATCCCCATCGAAGTCACTGTATGGATCCTCGTTAAACCTTTACCTCTCTTAAGACTTTCTCTGAGCCAGATGATCGGTAGCTAACTAGATTGGTGTTGATGATGCATCGACATGGTTGTTAAGACTTTGTAGTCTTTAGTGGCAGAAATGAACTATTTCCTTGCCTTTTGAATTAGGGAAAAAACCACCAAAAACCCCAAACTTTGCCATCTGTGACACATTTACCCCGAACTTTTTTTTGTGACACTAAAAACCCCGAACTTTGCTTTTTGTGACACATTTACCCCAATGTATTTAGTCCATGGGCATTTTCGTCTTTTCTGCTTTTTCATTTTTTTTTCTTTTTTTTTCCCTTTCCGGCGTGGGGGGCCTCGCCGGATCCGGCGAGGGGGGCCCTCGCCGGCGTCGAGCGAGGGCGGCCCTCGCCAGATCCGGCGAGGGCGGCCCTCGCCCGACTCGGCGAGGTCGACCCTCGCCCGACGCCGGCGAGGGTCGACCTCGCCGAGCCGGCGAGGGCGGCCCTCGCTCGCCCGGCGAGGGCGACCCTCGCCGGCGTCGGCGAGGTTCGCCCTCGCCCGGGCGAGCGAGGGCCGCCCTCGCCCGACTCAGCGAGGTCGACCCTCGCCGGCGTCGGCGAGGGTCGACCTCGCCCGAGCCTCGGCGAGGGCCTCCGCGCCGGATCCGGCGAGGGCCGCCTCGCTCGACGCCGGCGAGGGTCGACCTCGCCAGATCGGGCGAGGGCCGCCCTCGCTCGCCCAGCGAGGGCGGACCTCGCCCGACGCCGGCGAGGGTCGCCCTCGCCCGGGCGAGCGAGGGCGGCCTCGCCCACTCGAGCGAGGTCGACCCTCGCCCGACGCCGGCGAGGGTCGACCTCGCCGAGATCGGGCGAGGCGGCCCTCGCTCGCCTAGGCGAGGGCGGCCTCGCCGGCGTCGGGCGAGGTTCGCCCTCGCACGGGCGAGCGAGGGCGTCCCTCGCCGACTCAGCGAGGTCGACCCTCGCCCGACGCCGGCGAGGTCGACCTCGCCCGAGCCGGGCGAGGGACGCCTCGCTCGCCCGGCGAGGGCGACCCTCGCCGGCGTCGGCGAGGTCCGCCTCGCCCGGGCGAGCGAGGGCCGCCCTCGCCCGACTCAGCGAGGTCGACCTCGCCCGACGCCGGCGAGGGTCGACCTCGCCCGAGTCGGGCGAGGGCCGCCCCGCTCGCCCAGGAGCGGCGAACCTCGCCCGACGCCGGCGAGGGCCGCCTCGCCGGATCTGGCGAGGGCCGCCCTCGCTCGACGCCGGCGAGGGCCCCCTCGCCGGATCCGGCGAGAGCCGACGCCGGCGAGGCCCCCTCGCCGGAAAGGAAAAAAAAAAAAAAAAAAAAGAAAAAGCAGAAAAGACGAAAATGCCCATGGACTAAATACATTGGGGTAAATGTGTCACAAAAAGCAAAGTTCGGGATTTTTGGTGTCACAAAAAAAAGTTCGGGGTAAATGTGTCACAGATGGCAAAGTTTGGGGTTTTTGGTGGTTTTTTCCCTTTGAATTATAAGATACAGTTAAATGAGACTTAAGTTCAGTTACTATCAGAGTTCAAGATGCGGCACGGTCTTGTTAAAGAGGTTGCGGAATTAAGTATTTTAGTGGCTGAGTTTTTTGTTTTATGGGCATCTTTTACAAGTTAAGGGTCAACAAGCATGAAAATTATTCGAAATCTTCCTTTGAGATGAAAGTGCTACGGGGTTCATCCTGATTTATATATACTTTCTGTGGAGACATTTGATTGTTGACGTATCATTGTGAAATATGACAAGCAATTGGAATACTTCTTTTATTTGCCCTCTTCAGTGGTACATTAGATCTAACTAGTTAACTTAATACCTCTGTTATTTGCCCTCTTCTATGATAGATTAGAGAAATCTACCTCTGTTGACTTTAATACCTTGTGACTTTTTTGTTGCATTGAGATGCAGAAAGATTGACTAATCTTTGCTGAGAACTAACTAGTCAAAATGCAATGTTTGAAAAGTCAGGGAACCCAAACTATTTAGGGATCAGGACACAATATAAGCTAATGATGTGCACAATTTTCTGGATCTTAACATGTAAGATCTTGACTGCTGCTGTTTTGTCATGTGAATATTCACAGATTGGAGAGCTAAAGAAGCTCGTTGAAGAGGGTAAAATCAAGTACATCGGTTTATCCGAGGCCTCTGCGCCAACAATCAGAAGAGCACATGCTGTTCATCCCATCACAGCGGTGCAATTGGAGTGGTCGCTGTGGTCGAGAGATGTGGAGGCAGAGATCGTTCCCACATGCAGGTAAGAAATCACTCCATTAAATTGTTTATGCAGTAACAACAGCCTTCTTCTGACTCTGCTCTTCCTTAAAATGTTTGATAGGGAGCTTGGCATTGGAATTGTTGCGTACAGTCCTCTAGGACGGGGATTCTTTTCTGTTGGCTCCAAGCTGTTGGAGAATCTCTCCAAAAATGACATAAGACAGGTCTGTTTCTTTTGGTCAACATAATTAGATGCTCGCAGTGACTGTCATTCTCATTGAAGTGCTGGAAAGCTGTTCTTGTGGTATAAAGAAAAAGTATCTGGATGGGATGAATAACATTTGGTAACACAAATGCTTCATATTCTTATGTCTTCAATCCAGCACACGCCAGACATCCCACCTTTCGTGATTCTAGATTATTGCAAAATCATGACTAGTGGCTTAATGAGCCTGAAAGAGGCAGTGTCCCAGATTCTCACGCTTTTGGGAATGAATAAATATAGGTTTATTTGTAAGTTCCTCTGTTTCCCAGCCTTCCCGCCATTTGCTAATCACTATCCTTTCCCCACTTTCCACCCACCCTTTTTCTCTCATCTTTCTTCACAAGATTAGCGATATCTGCTCAAAATAACCGACACCAGTATCCGGCCTTGGCCCTCCGTCCTTTTCTATTCTCATCTTTCTTCACAAGATAAATTATATCTTGACTCAACCAGTTCTTGAGTGAGGACTTTGTAACACCCTTCTTATGGAAGTTTTGGGATCAAAAGTTTCTATCTGACATAAAGCCAATTGTGTATTACTTCCCGCCATTAGTGTTTGACTAGCGATTGTGCTGGGCAAGTGAAGTAGCTATATTTTTTAGCTAAAAGAGCTTTACGTCTGATAACATTCTTCTACACATCATCTACATGGACAAATGGTACCATCACACGTACAAAACTTAGATTGTCGATTTTGTTTCTGTTGTCACATCTTACATCAAAACCATCAGCCTTGCGGTAGTTGCTAGATCACTTCGTTCCACATTTCTAATGTTTACAATTTGGGACAAGATATATTAATCATTTCAAGATAATCTCTAACTAATCATGCTTTCCAGATACACAGTGGTCGTGCACTTCCAAATGCTTATCATGTCAAGTAATAAGACAATCTGATGGCATGCAATGCAACTACTTTGGCACTTGTTGCCGTAGAATTTGGTGCTAAAAGGAAAATGATAGTTGCTCATATGTTCTTTGCTGAGACAGTGCTCTATGTTATGCAGTCCATACCAAGGTTCCAGCCAGAGAACTTCGCTCACAATGCGAAGCTATTCGACCAAGTGAATGAAATTGCGCAAAGAAAGAGATGCACCCCGTCGCAGTTAGCCATCGCCTGGGTACACCACCAGGGTGACGACGTCTGCCCGATTCCCGGCACGACCAAGATTGAGAATTTCAACCAGAACATTGGAGCTCTGTCCGTAAAGCTTACACCTGAAGAAATGGCCGAGCTGGAATTGATTGCTTCTGCGGACAATGTCAAGGGTGGCAGGTACCCAAGCAGCGTGCCTACGTGGGAAAACTCTGATACTCCACCCCTTTCTTCATGGAAAGCTGCTTAGGAAACATGTCTGCTTATGTTGCCGCATCTTTTATATACAGAGTTTGAGCATTTGCTGCTAAAGTATTTTGAGGCTTGTGTTGTGTCTGTTGTAAGTACGTGTATGAAGAGAGTGCTTATTATCCTGTAATAAAATCTGGACTTCAGAGAGTAACTGTTATCATTTTGTAAAAATGACATTCACTATGAGAAGATTAAAGATGTGTAGGAAGCTTATCGGGGGAAGATGACTCAAGAAACACAGAGCAAGTTGAATACCAACCGAGCCCGCAATGCCAGTTCATCAGGGTGACTTTTAGAATCACGAAACCGGGATTTCGAGGAATTCAACTCCTCCATACATACTAGACTGACACTTTGTTCACCTCAACCATGAGTTCAATACTTAGACCGTGTACAATGTTCTTTCAGGATTGGATACTAGACAAAGAAGCAATGCTAAGAGGAACTTTTTCTAAAACAGCACCATTGCTTCTCTTAAAAGACCGTCGAGGCCTCCCAGGGCACTGTTGGGAGAGCCCGGATAGATCATCATACTTATCAAGAAGGTGCCCATGTGTGGACTTTCTTGCTAGTTGCTATGCATATGGAGTTTCGACTCCCTTTTGTCAAATTTTCTTTCAGAAAAAGAAGAGCCATAGGAGATTTTGAGTTTCACACTTAAAAAAAAAGGGCATTTCCTGGCAAAAAGCGTGGATATTGTGAACTTGGGCTTTTTTTGTCTGTCCATAGTAAATAGACAAAATTCCGTTGAACAAGTACCAAAAAAGCTTGTCGGACATATTATTGTACTATGTTTTATAATAAGAATCTTACTTTTGGCCAAAATCCTTTTAGTATTGTCCTTCCGTCTGAAAAAGCATATTACAAGATGCATGTGTGTTTCTTTGTATCTAGTGTCTATCTATTAGTGTATGATCAAGAAGGTGCCCATGTGTGGACTTTCTTGCTACTTGCTATACATATGGAGTTTCAACTCCTTTTGTCAATTTTTCTTTTTGCTTTTTGTATAATAGAAAAAGAAGAGCGGTAGGAGATTATGAGCTTCACAAAAAAAATAAAAAATGAATTACCTATCGTGAGTTATCCACAAAAAGTGTGGATAGTGTGAACTTGAACTTTTCTTATCTGTCCATATTTAAAGGACAAATTTCGCTGGATAAGTACAAAAGAAGCCTATAAGTTGTAATACCGTACCGTGTCTAATAAAAGCCATTACTTTTGTTCAAATTAGTCTTATCCTTCCTTTTGAGAAAGCATGTTGCCGTGCGCATGTGTGGTCCTTTACTCCTTTGTGTCTGATGGTTCTACCTACTGTTTGTATCATTTTCCTAAAAATGTGTGCTTGTATTATTACTGTATTACCCTTGGCTCTGCCTATAAAAGGTAACTTCTTGACGAGGTTGAAGAAGATTAGAGTTCGAAAAAATCGCGAGTTCATATACACACTATGATTTTCTAAACACTTTATTTTTTTCCTCATGGACGTTTCTTGAGCTTTTTAGTAAAGATTAATACCACAAAAAATTTTAAACTGTTATATCCATGATAAATTTATCCTGAATTAATTTTTTGATCATAAAACATCAAAACTGATACATTTGTAATAAATTTAGCCAGAACTAATTTTTTGACTACAAAAAACCCCAAATTAATACACCTGTGACAAATTTATCCTACGTTAAATTGGATTAATACTACGAAAAAATCACAAATTGATAAACCTGTGAATAACGGATGGGTAAAACCCAAAATTGGTACATCCGTCAACTACCAAGTGTCATCCGACTAAGCAATTTGATGGTAAAATTAACAGAAGCTAACGAAAGGTAAATTTGTCACTGGATTAGGTAAATTTACTACTCAATTTAGGGTTTTTTTTTATATTAACCCTTTAAATAATTTACTTTTACGTCCATGCCTTTAGATTATAATAAAATAGTTAGGAATAAGATTGTGAAATGACCCTTTTTCAGTTTAATTTGGAGGTTAGAGTTGTGCAATGTTGTTCTGTTCATGTTTTTGTCTCCCCTTTAAGCTGTGCCATACCGTTGGAGGTCTTTTTGCCAAAAGTTGTGTCATGTTATGTTCTTGACCTCTAAATTAAGGAATCGGCTGCTCCACTGATCTTGTGTGTGTGTGTGTGTTTTTTAAATAATCCACTAACGTTGTGTTTGTAGACAAGACGGCATGGAATTATTTGCCAACCTTCACATTGTACACCCACACATCAATGGATATTCCTCTAGAAAGTACAAAACACACACGGCAGAGGTAGAACATCTATCAAGATTAAAAGAAATCCTTTAGGTGGATAACTGAAAAACAATTTAAGGGAAAAAGTCATAAAAAATCTCAAACTATATTCACTATGACGCATTGACCCTGAATATTTTTTTTTTGCGACATCTAAAACCCCAAACTATGCCAATAGTGACAAATTTACTCTAAACCTTTTTATTGTGAAATCAAAATTCTCAAATTTATGCTTGTGTGACACATTTACCATCCGTTAACTAAAACTTAAGTTCAGTTGATTGTCGAGGTCCAGATGCGGCACGATGTTGTTAAAGAGGTCGTGGAATTTAGTAATTTTAGTGGCTGAGTTTGTCTTATGGGCATCTCTTGCAAGTTAAGGGTCAACGAGCATGAAAATTATTTGAAATGTTCCTTTGAGATGAAAGTGCTATGAGGTCATCCTAATTTATATACGAGAATCACATTGAAAGTTGTTCCTCGACTTTCTACGGAGACATTTGATTCTTGACATATCATTGCGAATTATGAAAATTACTTGGAATACTTCTTTTATCTGCCCTCTTCAGCGATAGATTAGAGAAATCTACCTCCGTTAACTTAATGCCTGGCAACTTTTTGGTTGCTTTGAGATGCATAAAGATTGATTAATCTTTGTTGTGTTGTCATGTGTGTAAAATATGGGTTTTAAACGTCAAAAAGTCAAAGGGAAAAGGAAAAGAAAAGAGAAAAGAAAAAGTTTGAAAAGTCAAAAAGAATAAAAAGAAGTATTATAAAAGGGGAAAAATGAGACCATCGGCTGAGAGAAGCAAGAGCTCATCGAGAAGAAGAAAGAGAGGAAAGAAAGAAGAAAGAAGGGAGAAAGAAAGGGTTTTTGCACGTGCTCGCCACAGTAGTCTCGCCAAGCCGGAGTTCCTTCGTATCGCCATGCTCGGTAAGTATTCACGCCCCTTGTTCGTTCAATCAGAATATTTTTCCGGGTTAGGGCTTATATTTTGGAGTTATGAATTATTCGAGCGTCGAAATCCGATTTTTGAGTCGTTGAGCTGTGAATATATATAGAATTGGTAGTTTAGGGTGCTGCAAGGCCGTGAGATTTTACGGAACTCGATTTGGACTTTCGGTTTGCCGGATATGAATTTTCGAAGTTGGCCGCACAAGGTGAACAGTGCGCGACCAGTGGCTTTTAGGCTGATTTTCGTCAGTTTTTGGCTCGATTTTGGGACGACCAAGTTGGAGCTTTTGTAATACTCTGAACGGGCTTTCTTTTGACTATAAGTTTGCTAAGATCGGAATTCGATGAAGAAAGTTATGGCGCAATCAAGTTTCGCGTTCAAGTTTCGCATTGCGGACGAGTTGGATAATCGCTTTGGAGGAGCGATTTGTGAGCGCGTTTGAGTCATTTTGGTTAGCGTCTAAGCTTGGTTTAGTCGAGTCGTTAGTGAAAATGGTGTTTTACTTGGTGTTGACGTCGATTCTCGTTTAATTGATAGGATTACGAGATCGTCGGTTCGAGTGAGCGTCGTTGTATGATTTTTGGGGGTTCCAGGTGAGTGGTGCTATCTCTTCTACGAATTTATAAACTCATGTCTTGGAAGTGACAAAGATTTGAGTATTGTATGAGTTAATAAGCATGTTTTGTGCATAAAGATCAAGATCGAGCAATTACTACCATTTTGCATTTGAGAATGATTTGAGAAATGAATTATGAAAGGTGTTGAGAAAGTTATTTATATGAACTGTTTTACGAACTGATTTATGAAGGGTTCTGAAAGAGCTTGAGAAATGCCATGTGAAATGTATTGTGAAGATTAAATGCTGTGGTTTGTAAAACCAAAATGTGATATTTATTCTGGATTGGCTTTGTGAATTGTGAAGAGTATTGTTATGAGTTTGCGTTGGTGCTCAATATCACTGTGAGCCTAATGTGGGGCTTGTGGGTATGCGCATACTAGTCTAGGATATCCTTGTGGGCCGAGCCACCGGCTTATAGTAGGTGGAGACCTTGCCAATGGGGAATCTTGGTTGCCTTATCACGGGGCGAGATGCGTGATCATGGTTTGATATTGAGCAATAGATTGGTCGATGGATAGACCATCGATGTGTTTTCTGCTGTGCCAGAGCAAATCCTTGAGAGCGATGGCAGTGCGGCTGTGGCTCAAAAAGGATAATATCAGGTCGGGTTGAGGGATGGCAGTGCGGCTGCGCCTCTACCCCGAACGAGGCCTTCTAGGATGAGATTAGTCAATGGAATAGACCATTGACGTGTGATTTGACGAGATTAATCAATGGACTTGACCATTAATGATTGAATTGTGATGGTGTATTAAATGAGTATTTTCTGGTTTGTAATCAAGTTTTGTGAAAAGAAAATAACTCATATTTGATATGATATGTATATGATATTGTGGGTTTAAATTATGAGTTTTCGATATTTTTATATATGTATAGTGGTTGCTCGATCTGCTTAGAAGAGATACGCACTACTTACTGAGCTGTCGTTGCTCACCCTCCTCTTTTCCCAATCTTTCAGGTTCTTTATTTAGCAGCCAATAGAGCGAGAGGAAGAGCGATGTCATGGGGACTTTTGGGTGATTTGAGGCTGCGTCCTTCAGGTGGAAGGACGGCCGTGTCATCCCCCATCCTGGTAGATTTCGGGGTGTGACAATATGAATATTCAAAAATTGGAGAGCTAAAGAAACTCGTTGAAGAGGGTAAAATCAAATACATCGGTTTATCCGAGGCCTCAGCGTCAACAATCAGGAGAGCACATGCTGTTCGTCCCATCACGGCAGCGCAATTGGAGTGGTCGCTGTGGACCAGAGATGTGGAGGCAGAGATCGTTCCCACATGCAGGCAGAAAATCACTCCGTCAATTTGTTGATGCAGTAACAATAGCTTTCTTCTGACTCTGCTTTTCCTTAAAATGGCGACCAGGGAGCCTGGCATTGGAATTGTTGCGTACAGTCCTTTAGGTCGAGGATTCTTTTCCGTTGGTTCCAAGATTTTGGAGAATTTCGCTGGGGATGACTTTAGAGGGGTTTGTTTCTGCTGATCAACATAATATGATCACAATGACTGTCATTCTTATCGATGCGCTCGAAACTATGAGTTCTTCTGGTATACAGAAGAACTAGGCCCTCACCCACCGTTCTACATTAGCGTAAAAACATACTTAATGGCTTAATGAGCCTGAAAGATGCAGTTTCCCGAATCTCATGCTTTCGGGAATATACAGCTATAGACTTACTTGAAAGTTCCTGTATCCCAGCCTTCCCGCCATTTGCTATTCACTATCCTTTCCTCCGTTTCCACCCATCCTTTTCTCTTATCTTTCTTCATAAGATAAGCGATATTTCCTCAATATAAGCAACACCCGTATCCCGCCACAGCCTTCCGTCCTTTTTTATTCTCATCTATCTCGTCTTTCTTCGCGAGATATCTCCACAGAACCAGTTCTTGACTGAGGACTCGCTAACACCCTTTTTAGGAAGTTTTGGGATCAAGTTCCTATCTGACATAAAGCCAATCGTGGATTACTTCCCGCGATTGGTGTTTGACTAGTGATTGTCCCTTTTAAGTGAAGTATCTATCGTCGTTTTAGCTAAAAAGAGCTTTACTTCCGATAATATTCTTCTGCGCATAATGTAGATTTGTGATTTCTTTGTTTTGAGTGTTATAAATGGATTCCACCGCATGTAGATAGATTTGTTAGAATAATTAACTATAAATCACGTCTTCATCTAACAGTTTAAGCTTTTAGAACAGTTGATAGTGGTTTATCAAAATCTCACAAGATTGTCGCTTTTGTTTATGTTGTCACCTCTTACATCAAAACCATCAGCCTTGCGTGGATATTGCTAGAGCACTTCTCTCCACATTTCGAATGCTTACAATTTTTAACAAGATGATTTAATCCTTTCAATCATTCCTTCCAGATACACAGTGATTGTGAACTTCCAAATGCTTATCATATCAAGTAACAAGACAATCTGATGGCATGCAATGCGACCACTTCTAGTATTGTTTACACTTGTTGCCGGGTGCTAATAAGAAAATGATAATTGCTCATACGCTCTCCACTGAGACAGTGCTCTATGTTATGCAGTCCATACCAAGGTTCCAGCCAGAGAACTTGGCTCACAATGCGAAGCTATTCGACCGAGTGAATGAAATTGCGCAAAGAAAGGGATGCACCCCGTCGCAGTTAGCCCTTGCCTGGGTACACCTGCAGGGGGACAACGTCTGTCCGATTCCCGGCATGACCAAGATCGAGAATTTCAACGGGAACATTGGAGCTCTGTCCAAGAAGCTTACACCAGAAGAAATGGCCGAGCTGGAATCGATTGCTTCTGCAGACAATGTCAAGGGTGGCAAGTACATAAGCAGCTTGCCGACGTGGGAAAACTCCGATATTCCACCCCTTTCTTCATGGAAAGCTGCTTAGAAACATGTTTGCTTCTGTAGCCGCATCTTTCGTATACAGTGAGCATTTGCTGGTTGCTGTTATAGTGTCTTGAGGCTGTGTTGTGCGTCTGTTATAAGTACGTACTTGTCATCCTATAATAAAATGTGGACTTTAGAGAGTAACTGTTATCATTTTGTATAAATGACATTCACCATGAGAAGATTATACACGAAAAACCCCAAACTGGTACATCTATGACAAATTTACCCCAAAATTAATTTTTTTGATTATCCAAAACCTCTAATTGGTACACTCATGACAGATTTACCTTAAACTGATTTTTTAACCACAAAAAACCCACAACCGGTGCGTTTGTGACAAATTTATCATCCGTTAAATTGGATTAATATCACGAAAAATCACAAAATGGTACACTTATGACAGACAAAGGATAAAACCCCAAACTTGTATACCCGTCAACTGTCACGTGTAATCCAACTCAGAAATTTAACGGTAAAATTTAACAGAAACTAATAGAGGGTAAAATTATTACAGGTGTACTAGTTTGGGATTTTTCGTGGTCAAAAAATTAGTTTGGAGTAAATTTGTCACAAATGTACCAGTTTGGGATTTTTTGTGGTATAAACGCAAGATTATAAATGTGTAGAGAGCTTATCAGGGGAAGATCACTTAAAAAAATGCAGAGCGAGTTGAATATTGTTTTAATGATAATTACGTATAGAAGAGAGATAAAAGAAGAGAAAAGGGACACTCAATCGTTAACGTGGTTTAGACGACCAAGAGTATAATCCCTTGGAAGCTTACATCCACGGTGGTAAATCCCCAATTCATCTTATTTTCTTTAGGAGGATTCATTATCCTTTACTAGAGAGCAATACAATGGGTTACAATCATAATTTGGTAACTACAACTATCGCATAACCAGTATGATCTCCTACTATATTGGGATTATGATGATTTGGCATCCTTATTGGTCGAACACTTCCCCTCCAAGCTGGAGCAAAGATGTCCTCAGAGAGAAGCCGGCAAAGCGAGGCCAGACAAGGTCCACCAACGCAAGTAACAGCTGCACGCAGTTCTGAGAGTGAATGCCGATCCCAGTTGACTCCACGGCAAGCAGTTCCTATGTGCGACTCCCATGACGTAATAAGAATCTCCTCAGCCATGCCATTGTGAATATTTTGCAGATGGGTCTCTATAAGGCCCTTCCTGTGCTAGATAAAAGCTATCTGTCTCCAAATCCAAAGGAGCCGTCTAGAGAAAAGGATATCCAATCGTCAAATGTACCAATATGAAAAAAAAAAAAAAACTTCTCATTTAGAATCATTCCCGATACGTTTGTACAAAGAATATTTTCTGAACCCATGCAATGGTATTCTAGTGGTTGTAGGTTAGGGTAGCACACATGATTCATATATAAATGAACTGTCCAACGTTGGTTGAATAAACTTGTAATTTCAACATACCTGAAATTTGGTGCGGAAGACATTTGGTACGTCAGAAAAAATAACATCCCACATAAGAAGCCCAAAAATTGTCAACCAAATGCCACTCTCCGTATGAACTCCACTCCAGCAACCTCCTTCATTGGCATAATACTGTAGAGCAAGCTGCTCGACTCCGCATTGCTCTCCATCTTCTCCATAGAACCTGCTCTTTTTCCCCATTTCACAGTTCAAAGGTCTCCCTTGTACATGAACCTAATCAATGACCAAATGAAATGATATCAATGCCTACAAGATTAAGTTCTGTGAACCAACATAGTTCAGGTATTAATGATCCAAAGTTTTGATTCTTTAAGAAAAGTATAGTCACATTACTTCCTTAATTTTCCATTTTGTGATCTCAAAAGAACGGGGAATTTTCCAGCGCCTCGGTGGTTTTCCTAAATCAAGAACCCGCTTTTGCAGTGCCATTCTTGAACCAGCACGCGCCCATGGATCCAAGAGACCATCCTCTGCAACTGAAAGGTTCTCGTCTAGGAATCCCAGATGCTCCAAGTTGATTGACAGCCTTACAGTCCAGTATCCTCTCCTTCCATCAGATATAAAACAGTCTAAAGGCCGCTTCAGTAGATTTATTGCATCTTGGTACCTAAGCACGAAAATAGTCTCCTTAAGATATTTAATATAAAGCATCCAGCTTATCTCCAGAAGAAGGGGGCCAAATGGAATTGAGAGCATTCAGCCAAAACCAAGTCCAAAGTGAATTAACAGTAGGACTAGGAGCATATTAATGTGTGGCAAAACACGCAACTGTCAACTATACTAATACTAGCCTCCTCGTTTCTCACCACCAATGCTTCAAGTAGTTATGATTGAACTTGCTAGAACATTAGTAATGACGATTATTGACTTCACAAATTAATAACTAAGGTTCATACTGATGGAAGTAACTTAACAAAACCACAGTAATTACATGCCTTAATTTCACTACTGGAGTGGCACATTCAAAAGGAAGCAACAAGTATCAACTTCATTGTCCAATCCATACCTACACTCACGTTCAAGATAGGAGATGCCTAACAAAATGACCTTGGAGTAGACCCAAGAAGCTGTAAAGCATGAAATAAATGCAGCTTCCGAACCCGAAGTGGATGATCTAGATACATTTTCGGAAGGAAGATCCACACGAGAGTCTGCGATCTTTAAACATCTCAACACTTGGTTTGCATCATTCTCATCAAGTGACTCATCGATCAACTGTGCCACTTCAATGGCCTGCACATGTACAGATCCCATGTAATGAACAGAATCAAAGTCCACATATCATAGTGGCACCAAAAGAAATAAATACCTCTTCATAATCTAGGAGGTGACTTCGAGAAGAGAAAATTTGTTCTGAAATTGTGCAGTTGTAAGTTGGGTATGTGACTGCTCCCAGATCAACTAGAAGAAATGTAGACACATCCTGTTCTCCATTTAGGAAAAAAATTCTCTGCAGATAGAGAGGCTTAGGTTAGATGCCAACTACAACGATAATTAGGGTCACCAAATCTGTCAAAAGATGGCATGCCATTACCTCGGCACGCCAGAAGACAGTTTCAGCTCTCGAGGATATTTTTACACACGCACCAGCTTTATCCAGAAGCATACATGGAAGAACTGGGCTGGACATGGAAGGCCAGAAATAAAGAACATAGTTAATACTCATATACTCAGCTAACAAGCCAGTAAATACTATCACATGAAAGTAGCCATACCATAATCCATCTCTATACAAATATAGAGCAGATGCAATAAGATCCTTCTTTCTTGAATTCTGGCTGCCTTTCTGAAACCTCCTCCATCAAATCCAAATGGCATATGGCAGATTCCATCAGATAAAGAAGAAAGAACATGCCAAACTAATACAGAATTTAACTTACAGCTGAAAATTTCATTTCTAAAAGGTTTTGCTATGCAAGTACAAACATCAACTTGCTCATGATATAAGTTCAAATCAGGTTGCAATTCTATCCTCCTTTTCACTTAAAAAAATTCCTGACTACCAATAAAGCATTACCTAAACGCTTTTATTGAAAAATCTGATAAGCACCACAACTAAAACCTTATCTCTGCAATCTAAGCCCATATCCACAGAATGTAACGACAGTGAGCATCCACTGCTCGACATAATCCCTAGATACTATACGCACCCATTTCTGTGAACTGGAAATGATGACAAAGCTCATACAGAATATAGATTAAATTTTACATGAGGACAGAAATAAAGCATCGGGTTGAACTCTTCTTTGATGTCATATAGAAGGTAGTTGAAATTTCATTAAGTTTCTCCAGATTCTTCCTCTAATTAATTCTCTGACAAAAAGTTGCATCCTTGTCAGTTGCTAACAAACAATTGGTTCCCCATAAGACTAAGGGGATGCCCTCACACCACTATTACTTGAAGGAAGAATAGCAGGATAGAGATGTACAACTCTTTAAAGATCCTAAAGCTTTATCCTTTTTTTTTTACTTTATGTATATATTTGAGATTTTTATGGCTTAGCTGGCAAGAGATATTAGGAAACCTAACAAGCACATTCTGTGGGAATGTGGGGGCTCTAGAGTTCGCCATCCTCTGCTCGACTCCTTTCTGTGTAGGGAAAGGTAGAGAACTTATAGTTCATGCTGGAATGTGCTGCAAAAGCATAACTATTCCTGCATAACAAGCAAAGTTAAGTTGTTGGATCCTAATGTCTTGGATGCACGTCAAGGAGCCAGACGTTGGACTACCAAAAAGTCGGAAAGGTTCACACTTGGGCATGTTTGTTAACCAATATCAGCTAATAAGTTCACTCTGCATTTTTATAGCCGTACCTGATTGTCTGATGCACAAGAAGCATACGCAGTCCACAAAATGAATATTCAGAATCCAACAAATTGAGGAAAACAGTTATATATGGATCTTTATGGTCAATATTGTCCCAATTGAAAAATGCCACGGACACGCTACATCACATAAAAAAAACTTTGTGCTGGCCAAGCAGTCATCAATCAGTTAGCTTATCGTGCACATACATGTCCTGATATGTATAAACAGAATTCATACTAATATCCTAAACAATGGATAAAATATTTGGCCCGTATCTGTCCACATAGTTGATTTTGACTCTGTGGTCATCGAAAGCCAACTAGCTCTTGGAGCATAAACTGTAGGCGCAGCCAATTTTAGAAAGACCCATCCGTAATGCTCCATTTTAGATGAAAAACCTGTCTAGCATATAAGGATATGACAATTCAGCCAGACCAGACCTATGTGAAAGGGGTTCTTGCTGAAGCGGCTTAATTAGATAATTAGCACACTAGAACTTAACTGAAGCTGCGCGTCGCCAAATGGAAGAAACTACTAAATGGAATAACAAGAGCCATCTGAAATGCAAAGAAAGAGCATACAAAGTAGGATTAAAACCAAGTTAAGTTGAGTTTTAATTCCAAGGAACAAATCTATGCGTTGGTCGAGGTGAAACTAATGTACCAACACCACTTACAAGTTTTCATCCAAAACCAATAGTTCGGATTGCCTCTTGAAGCCTGTGTGCATTTACATAATTTCCCTAGAAAAATGTAGAAAGGGAAGAAAAACAACTAATTAGATCTTTTTCAACATATTAATTATTTTATCATCAAGAAATCCCTGCTTTCTTCATCTGAATTATGCCTCTCTTGGACTCAACAGATGGATGTCACAAATTTATAA